AAACGGGATATTAACGAACTGTAACGTCTCCTTTTGTTAGCTTTCTTCTTTCTTTCATTCCTTTTTTGTTTGTTTGTTTGTTTTTGAATATGATGTAAGCTTACAGAGGAAGTAAATGATCGATGCCAAACTCTCCAAAACCCCCACTAAAAACAACTCAAGCAGATATAATACAACTCTAATTATTTTTAATTGCTTTAGCTACCCTTCCTATAGCTAATGTAGAATCTGGAAGAATTGTATCAGTAAACATAATGGAATTTATTGACCTATACAGTATTATCTTCGATATTTTAATTTCCCGACTCTAAAAGATTCATCATATCTCTTTTAAATAGTGGTGGGATTAATATTCAGTTTCGCAGTCAGATTTTGTCTAATAAATAAAAACAAACTAAAAAAAGACTTAATTTAGATTTCTTCGTTACTTGGCTTATAGATCTTTCTTTCAATATATTTTTTAAAGTTTATTTCCTAACCTCTTGTCTTCCTGGCCCATTGATATGCGTTAGTCATTGTCTGCGCGCCATTTCTTTTCTCCTTTTCTTCTCCTTCCCATGGTTCCTCCAATTTTCAAAATGTAGCGTTTACTATTAACTCTTCCTGCTTGTTATTAAAACATCCGGCGAAGCTTGAATGTGTTTCAGTCAGTAATCATTCAAAGATCGTTATTGGCAGCGTTAAATCTGATTGGTGTTTATTGGAGGGGAACTGAGCTGCCGGCAAAAACTGGTCGTTTGGAAACAGCGAGAAAATCGAGATTTCAGAACACGTTCAGATCCGCTGTTCTTGCATGTCTTTCTTTCCCCAAACATGTGTACCTCGATGGCGGTGTAATGGTTAACAAGCTTGTTTCGCTAGAACAATTAAGAGAGAGTTCGATCATCACTGGGTGCCCAATACTTTCGGCTTTGTGCCACATCTAAGCTACGCTTGGAAGATCACTTTGGGGCACATCTTCGTGGCGTAATGGTTAGCAAGCTTGTCTCACTAGAACCATGAAGACTGAGTAGTGGTAGGGTTCGATGCTCACTGGGTGCCCCATGCTTTCGGCCTTGTGTCCAATCTAAACTACGCTTAGAAAATCATAACATCTAAGCTACACCTAGAAAATCATTTTGGGGCACCTCGAGGCGGTGTAATTGTTAGTAAGCATGTCTCGCTAGAACAATTACGACTGAATAGTGAGTTCGATCCTCACTGGGTGTCCCGTACTTTCGGTCTTGTGCCATATCTAAGCTACGCTTGGAAAATCATTATTTCCCCAAACTTTATTGCATTAGTTAATAATAATAATGATAATAATAATAATAATAATGATAATAATAATAATAATAATGATCGAAAGAACAGCACTCCTAAAAATGAAACTCCAGTACAAGCATACGAAGCTGAAAATTCACATCATTATACACAGTCTGATGAGAGCATACTGGCGAATCCATCACACCTAAATGTTCACGACATGATGACAGGGTTTGATTCTCAGCGCATAACCTTAAAGAATGATCCCAATTAAAAATAAATTTTATTTCGGCTAACCCAGTCAGCTCAGAGGATCTCCAGCTGAGAGTGTTCCCAATTATCTAGATATATCCTTCAATACCGAATATATATATATATATATATATATATATATATATACAAATCTCTCGATATTCAGCTATGATGGCCTTCCGCTACTCTCACTCATGAACAGAAAGGCACATTGACTCTACCGCTAGCTCACATTCCAAACTGTTTAAAGCCGGTCAACTGGTTAAGATCAGGCATGAGCAACCAGTTAAGGTCAAGGGAATGTGAAGAAGGTACATAATGAAGATTTACTGTCGCTCAACTTAATTTGGCAAGACTAAATAAGCTAAGAAATGTTAAACATGTTAACACCTTTAAAATAAGATGCGTTATTATTATTATTATTATTATTATTATTGTTGTTGTTGTTGTTGTTGTGCTTAGCCTTTGCTTGTACGAGTTGCAGCCAAATTTGAACCAGGAACCCAAGAGACAATAGGTTGTTTTGTATTAGAAGATGTAAGCAGATCAGGAAGCATACAAAAAGGAAGAAAGATAATTATGGTCACTGTATGGAATTAAATCTGAGCAAAATGTTGTTATTATTACCATTTCCTTTGATTTCTGTTGTATACACATTTTCTTCCGGGTCCCAACCATAGACCTAAGGTCAGAAACGGCTTCATGACATTTTCCACTGATCATTTTCATAAAACAATTAAGATCACATACAGTTTACATAGATAATGCTCTTCATAAAGTGTGAGTTGTACTTGTGAGTACAATTCTTGTTTTTCTTTTAGGACGACCAGGAATCTCTTCAATGAGTCTCTCGGAAGCTGTTTTTTTTTCCAATCTATCCAACTACAACTAAAATTTCTGAGATTTTCACTTTAAGATCCAATATTTTGAAAAGCTTCAAAAATACATTACAATTTGCAGGGATTGCCATGTCAATAAGAAAGCACATTCTGTTCTTGTGGTCTTTGATCACGATGTCTGGGCGATTAAATTTGATTGTTCTGTCTTTGTGTATTGTAAAGTCCCATAAAATTGTGACAGGTCCTATCTCCGTAACCACGTCTGGGTGGTCTTTATACTAGTTTCTTGCAGGTTCCCTTCCATTAACAGTTGCATATTTTCGAGTGCAGATACTCGCCCACCCCATCATGCCGAGTTTTATATTCAGTGGGTGTCAACGCTGGGGAACATCATACAAGATGTTTATTATTATTATTATTATTTGATTTCTGGTGTCCCTCCAAGAGACCTAAGGTCAGAAATGGCATCATAACATTTTCCACTGACCAATTAAAAGAATAATTAAAAAACAACATACACACATATTTTATAGAGATAAAGCCCTTCGCAAGGTGTGTGCTGTACTCGTGAGTTTTTTTTTTTTTTTTGTATTTTTTTAAGGTATGGACTTCCAGGAATCACTTCAATTAGTCTACTGGAATCGTTTCCAAACATTCCTAGGGATCCAACGACAAAGGGAATTGTTGATGTTCCCATGTGCCACATTTTTGAGATTTCAATTTCAAGGTCCTTGCATTTTGTTAGCTTTTTGTATATCTTCAAAGATACATTGCAGTCTGCAGGGACTGCCATATCAATAAGGAGACACTTTTTTTGTTTGTGGTCTTTAATAACAATATCTGGGCGGTTGGCTTTGATTGTTCTGTCAGTGTGTATTGTGTAGTCCCATAGAATTGTAACAGGTCCTATCTCCGTAACCGAGTTTGGATGGTGTTCATACCATTTTCCTTCAGTTTCCTTCCCGTAGAAGTTGCAGATTTTTCAGAGCTCATATAGGCTCACTCTCTCATGATGGGTTTCATATTCAGTGGGTGCCAATACCGTACAACCTGATACAAGATCGTCAATTGTTTCTGGATTATTATTATTATTATTATTATTATTATTATTATTATTATTATTATTATCCTAGTTGTAAAAGAAATCCTGATAAAAACGGGTATCAAAACCTTCATGACTTAAATCTATGTGTTGTATGGAGCAAATGTCTTTTGTTGTTGTTGTTGTTGTTGTTCAAACGTGAAATCCATATATTTCACTTTCTTGTAGGCGATTAAATCAAACAATAGACTGCTTCGTTTGTCTAAAGTTTCAATGCCATATTGTTACATAATGGCATGATATTTCGACATATTCACATTTACACACTTGACTGTTATTTTTTTTTATTCATAACAGTATTTCATTGATATAATAACCCTGTCCTGTCAGTAACTTTTGCATTAATTCCTAACATCTGATAATCATTTTCTTTCTGATTTCCAAGATATCGCCATAGTAAAATAATTTAGAAAGCATTTTCATATTACGAGGAACACTTCGGAAATAACACCGACATAAATATATTCATGGTACAACCGATAAATCCGTTATACAGTGCTTAGCTTGAAAAAATAAAACTATTTTCGTATACTCAATATCAATTCTTCAAGGGGGTTGGAGATCATGGCTCATAGATATCCACAATTTCCTGAGCTGAAACGATTTAAGACATCAACACAGGCAAGGAGAAATAGTATAAACATATGGATTAGCTCTTCATAGCGAATGTTAATTCCTTTTCTGTAGGAGCATTTTTTATATCATTTCATCCAAGCAAGGCGGGAATGCAAGTAGTACAGGGGGGTGGAGTGATACAGGAAATGAAAGTGAGAGAAAAGTCTGAGTATAGGGAGGATTGAGGAAAAAAAACAAAAGATGAAGCGGATTTGGGGAGAGAGAAGATGACAAATGAAGTTGCTTTTAAATCTTTGAAGATTGTAGTTGTCAGGAAAGCAAGTAAACGGAAGGTAGTTCCACTGGTGGGAAGAGCAAGAAAAGAAACTGTTGAAATAGACGTAGCGGTTACATTTAGCTATTTCAGTAGTAAAAGGATGGGACATAGATACCAAGCTAGTAGCACGCTTAAATTCTTGTAGTCAGGGAACCAGGGTGAAAAAAAAAGCATGTCAGAGCAATTGCGATGAAAATATTTGTAGAAAAGACAGAGGGAAACCTCGCGACTAATTTCGAGATGTCAAGCCAGGAACCTTGTTTGGATTTTATAAAGGATCTCAAGATGAATAGCAGGAGCACCAGATCAGATATGGCAACAATATTCAATGCACGAACGGATGATAGATTTGTAAATGTGTTATGCTAAAAGTCGCCATTGAATTTTATGTTTGTATTTTTCATTCATTTTACTATTTACATTTTTATTTAAATTAAAATTTAACTTGCTCAATTTATAGCTTCATTTTTTCTTAGTTGAATGCTTGCTAAGTTCAGCTTGTTCGCCCATATGAATGTCTTCGGTTAAATAAATGATAAAATTAGACCATATATCTTTAGATAAGATGTTACTACAAAAAATAGGCCTAAGGGTGCAAAGTGAAGTATATGATCTAAAAAGTCCGAGGTGAAGTATAAAAAAATGATTGAGAACGATTTCACATCAAAATATGCTTTTCCTTCTATACTATCTTTTTGATACTTGTAAAATCCCAGATGCTTTCTATATCAAGTAAGGAGTCCCGTAACCGATTAGATTCGTAATGCCACTAGAGATCATGCAGCCAGAGAAATGGGGCGTTTCTGACGGAGCCCACCCCCACTTCAAACTGCTTCTGAATTTAAAGTTTTCCTTCTAAAATCGTTGCCATTCGAAGGCAATAGAAGTAATTCCGCCCTGTTATTTAAGCATACTGTTAACACTTCGGCTGCAAGAGCATAGTTACGAAATGTTTATTGCCTACGAAGCTATTACGAAGTTTACGTTTGAAGTCAGATTTTGTCATGTTAACAGTATACTTTAATAACAAGTCAAGCTGACTTCTACTGAATTGAGATGGCCTCAATTCTAGAAGAAGGTCTACCAGAAAAATGATCAAACGAGCCTTGACATTTAATTACTTAATATTTCAGCATTTCCTCTCATCCCGTCTGTGATATGCAGCCCACGTCCTCATTCGACATGTGGACCTTAGTGTGTGAAAGAATGCCCAAATCTTCTCTGGAGTGGTTGTTTTTATATCCATCTCTAGAACATTAGCGTAGGTGTGAGGTTACGTAATTCTGCATTCGGTGGCCGAGAGTACGTCCAGAACAACTCTAGCTTCTTTTTGATAATCTGGTATGAAATTTGAGCACGTTTTATATGCCGCCATAATAACACAAGCCCACAGCATGTGAAATGTGCCTTCAAAACCGTATTAGTCCTCGGTGAACGGTACAGAATGAAGCAGCAAATTGAAGACGGTCGAATTCTCTGATAACTTAACCCGCGCTTCACTCTTTGTTCATTTTCTGTGTCTCCTTCTTGTCTGGCTCCCCATAATTTCCTGTCCTTTGTAGCTCTTAATAAATGTTGTCTTCTTGCTAACGCTTCTAAACCCTGCTCTACCATCCATTTAATCAAGCTAGCTAGCTAGGTCATGCATTGTTTTCTTCAATTCATCAAAGGCGACTCGCGAGGTTGCCCATGTTCTAGATTGTCCTATTTGTATCTATATGAGATGACATTAAAAAATATGTATGCTAGCCAATGCTAAAAATATGAACAAAGAAAATCAAGTTTGTCTTGCCTTGACATTATTCCTGTTTCGCTGGATTTCCCATAACATTTTTTTGTATTATTCATTAAGGCATTCTGTTCCCAGTTTCTATTATTTATTGTACTTCTATTCATCCATAAAAATTCCCTGTAATCCTTCAAAAGAATACGACGTCAAACAGTTTATGGTTTATTGTTCGAATTCTTTACGCTTTGTTTTTCTTAGTGTTATTCATAACGTTTTCCGTTTCTCGGTTATATAGCCTTGTAAAATGCACGCAAACAAATGTCCACGCTATAAAAAGATTGTTTCTTTGTCTATGAATTCATTTGGTCGGTATTGATTCGGCATTCGAAATCATGCTAAACACGATATATATTCATTTTTGCTTTTCTTTTTTATGTATGTCCGTATCCGGCCGTGGTATGACCCTTCAGAATGGCGAATCTAGGTCTCTCTAGATCAGCGTTTCTCAACCTTTTTACCCTTGCGTAACCCTTAAAATAAATTACATGTGTCAAAGAAACCCTGCGCAAAAAATAAAATATAATGTATCTTTCTTATTTTATTTTCATCGTAGTTCACGTGTTAAATATGATATAAGAGACCCGGATATAAGAGAAACCCGGATATAAGAGAGATTTTCTCTGGTCCCAAATTAGAGCCTGTGTTAATGTATATAAAATAGAACAAACACGGATATAAGATAAACCCGGATATAAGAGACTTCTTCTCCCGTCCCGACAACTCTCTTATATCCGGGTTACACTGTAGTATATATTTTTGAATAACTAGTTTAATTAATATTTCTTTGTCAAATTTTATCGGTAATGCTAAACGCATACTGTTCGTTTATAATACTTCATCTCGCGGAACGCTTGGGGACTTTTTTGCGAAACCCTCGAGTTCCAAGGAGGAGTTGTTTCCCTTTGCATTCTCCACGTTTTTAAAGTCGGAGTTTCTTTTTTTTTTCTTTTTTTTTTTTTTTCATGATTAGTTGTCATCTAAAGCAAAACAGACAGCCTGATCTGATATTTAACCAATAGCTGGCCTCCTCTCCGTGTCTGTTTCACAATCTCTGTCCCCCTCTCTCTCCACTGTGTCTCTCTCACTCTCAATCCCCCTCTCCCCTCTCTCTCTCTCCTCTCCGTGTCTGTTTCACAATCTCTGTACCCCTCTCTCTCCACTGTGTCTGTCTTTCTCCCTCTCAATCCCCCTCTCTCCCCTCTCTCTCCTTCTCTCCACCTCTCTCGCTCCCTCTCTCCCCCCTCTCTCTCTCTCCTCTCCGTGTCTGTTTCTCAATCTCTGTCCCCCTCTCTCTCCACTGTGTCTCTCTACCTCTCAATCCCCCCTCTCTCTCCTTCTCTCCTTCTCTCCACCTCTCTCGCTCCCCTCTCCCCTCCCTCTCTCCTCTCCGTGTCTGTTTCACAATCTCTGTCCCCCTCTCTCTCCACTATGTCTCTCTCCCTCTCAATCCCCCTCTCCCTCTCTCTTCTTCTCTCCACCTCACTCGCTCCCTCTCTCTCTCTCTCTCCTCTCCGTGTCTGTTTCACAATCTCTGTCCCCCTCTCTCTCCACTGTGTCTCTCTCCCTCTCAATCACCCCTCTCTCTCTCTCCCTCTCCCTCCCTCCTTCTCTCTCTCCCCCTCTCTCTCTCCTCTCCGTGTCTGTTTCACAATCTATGTCCCCCTCTCTCTCCACTGTCTCTCTCTCCCTCTCAATCACCCCTCTCTCTCCCTCCCTCTCTCTCACTCCCCCTCTCCCACTCCCACTCCCCTCTCTCTCTCTCTCTCTCTCTCTCTCTCTCTTGTCGCTTTGGGATAGTGTCGCTTTAAAAATGAATCCGTTAATTCTTTAGAAATTGTTTTGTTTACGAAATGCAGCAGAACGGAAGGGTTTGAATTACTCAAAAGAATATATAGAACTATGTTGGACTGGCTGAAACATTTTCTATGGCCGAGCAGTCTAAAACACACCAGATCAGACGGTTGTGAAGGTGACTTCTTAACGTTCTCAGTCTGGCAGAAGGGGAGCGATCCCAGCGCGCGGCACCTTTGGAAAGTGCCTGAGAATTATACCACGGGTTGACCCAAGCCTAAAGAGTGAAATTTGTGTAAACAGAACTCCTTGGGAGCCGTCGATGATTGTGCTAGTCATCGTGACCGAAGCTATGAGCGTGCTGGGTTTGTTCAAATTGTTGGTCACTGTAGATAACACACTTTCTCCAAGAAACTATAACTGAGGTTTACTCAGCATAGTTGCAATATAAACCACAGGTGGACCCTGTGGGTGTTGAATAAACACAAAACGTGACCAAAAGTTTTTGTATAGCCGCCATAATGGTTGAAATCCTCACATACTTGTATCCACCGTTAAAAGATATATTTCGGCAGCAAGGATTCTGTCAAAGATATTTTGTTAAATAAAATGGACAACTGAAATTGACCTCTGAAACGGCAATTTTTTGTAGCTGTGCATAATACGCACCCCTAATTTTGCTTATTACTTTTTGGAAAAAAATGCGTATTATACATGGGGAATTACGGCAATTGTTCTCTATGAAATTACTCAACAACTTTTAATTCCGACGTTCTCACGCTTGAAGGGATCAATTTCACGTCAGACAGGGTGAAGTCTTATAAATGGTCAAACAGAATATCTATATGTGTGCGTGTGTGTGTTGCTGATCTTTTATAGTAAACACACTTTTATTTACTTTATATATATATATATATATATATATATATATATATGCACATTTCATTGAAAACGACAGACAAGGTGCTTTTATTTAGTTTTTTATACAATTTCTCATGCGATTTAATAATGTTTTTCTTTTCGGATGATAAATTATATAAAAACTGCCCGAATGTTCTTTTTATCCGAGCGCTTTCGGCTATACATTTAGCCATTTTCAAGGATTATATTTTAACTGTTAAAATAAGAAATAGTTTGTTGCATGTATGTTTTATAAAATGTTTTCATTTGGCAAATCACTTATGTACACTTCTTACATTATTCAGACTATTGTCCTTATCTTTGTTGCCATATTTATCACAACGTTTCGGCCGTGGTACGCTCCGGCCTTCATCAGGTGGTTTGAATGTCGAACTGAAACCTTTATTTCGCTGACTGTTCTACTTCCACGTGTCATGTCTAATGGAAGTCTCAGTTCTCAGTTATTTCTTGCTAATTCACCTCTCCAATTCTCCACTGCCTTAACCAGGTATTGAACTCACAACTCTTTGGGTCCTGTCACTGGATGAAACTGCTGTCTTAACATAGATACACTCCTACTATGGCTTAAGTACATGTAATGTTTTTGTTTTTTGTGTACGCTATTTACATTATTTGGACTATTGTCCTCATCTTTGTTGCAATATTTATCACAACGTTTCGGCCGCTGTACGGTCCGGCATTCGTCAGTTGGTTGGAATGTCGAATTGAACCCTTTACTTCGCTCGCTGGGGTAGACTGTTCTAGTTCCAAGTGCCATATCTAATGGATGTCTGTTATCAATTATCTCCTGTTAATTCACCTCTCAAAGTTCTCCACTGCCTTAACCAGGTATTGAACTCACAACTCTTTGGGTCCTGTCACTGGATGTAACCAAAGCCTTTATCTACTGTACCATGTATCCTTAAGTATAAAGGCGTTGGTTAAGACAGTGAAGAACTTGGCGAGGTGAATTCACAGGAGATAACTGATAACTGACATCCATTAAGCATGGAAGTAGAAGAGTCTACCCCAGCGAGCGAAAAAAAAGGGTTCAGTTCGACATTCCAACCACCTGAAGACGGCCGAAGTGTACAATGGCCGAAACGTTGTGATCAATATGGCAACAAATATTAGGACAATAGTAAATGTAAATAGTTTAACCGTACGTTCTATGCCAGCAGTTTCTTTTCTCGCACTTCTCAACTGTGGAATTCTCTTTCGGCTTCCCAGCTAACTTTGACCTTCAAATGTGTAAATGCAATCTTAATTCCCCTTTTTTATTATTCTCGCTCCGTAATAATGTGATTCCTTTTTCTTATAGTCTTTCGCACTCAGTAACCCCTTTCTTCTTAGGCATTAGCTTTGCTTGGGGTGAAATGATAAGAAATGGTCCGTATCGAATGAAATTGATACCAAATGTCTCCTCAATAAATAATCAATTTAGCTTATTATAATCCTAAAGTTACATTCTAGTACAGGGTGCGATGGATAAACTGTCGCCGTTTTACATGTTTAATTTTGCGTTGTTTCTTTGGATTTTGTCGACTGCCCAGTAGAGTCAGTTAGACACCGTCTCTGAGAAAAAGAACGCAATAACGCAATTCACTCCGCCAGATATTTGGAGACGGCATAGTATACTGCCGGAAGCTCCAATACAAACATTCCTGAGTCTTGGGTGTCAACCTGATGACAGGGTATAGGATTCGGAATAAGTTGGATTATATATGAAGTCAACATCAGGATTTTTGGAATGATCACTAGTGATGACGATGTTATGCCTGTATTCATTTCCCCACAGGGCCTCAGACTCAACACGGAGGCCTACATCAAATGCCGTGAGGAGATTGTGCTGTTCTAGTTCAAGAAGGTGGCTACTGGAAGACCCTATGTCTAGTAACATAACTCTACACCATGCCACACAAGCAGAGAACCTAATAATGGTTGTCAGACAATTTCTGCAATTACATCACCCCTTACATCTGTCCATCTATCTCTTCTGACAGTAAACCCCATTGATTATTATGTATGGGGCGAGAGACCCCAAAACTATTTTAAGATCAAAGACGAACTGAAGGCAATGGTTATGGCAACATTCACCAAATTAAACAAGGAAACCGTCTAAAAGAGTTTCAAGAGGTTATGGAGTGATCTGGTGACCATGGTTGAAGCCAATGGCGATTTTATTCAATCAGTTTACTCTTTTGTATTTCAAGTTATTTTTTGTATAATTTTGGTATATATATATATATATATATATATATATATATATATATATATATATATATATATATATAAAGTTTACTTTAATATTGTCATATTATAATGCTTTTTTAAACATTTATTAAATGCTGTCATGTCGCAAACAGGCATTAGCCTTGTACAAATTTAAAATTAGAAATTTGTTTATCAAGGATTTGTATTTTATTCAATAAGTTTGCTCTTTTATATTTCGAGATATTTTTGTAAAATATTGGTAAGGATATCTGTTAAAATGAGATGTCAGTGTTATTTCCATTTTTATGTAATTTAGATGACAATTTATCCATCGTATCCTACACATATATATATATATATATATATATATATATATATATATATATATATATATATATATATACATATATATATATATATATATATATATATATATATATATATATATATATATATATATATATATATATATATAAAATTACTTTAATATTGTCATATTATAATGCTTTTAAAATTTATTAAATGCTGTCATGTTGTAAACAGATATTAGCTTCGTACAAATTTAAAATTAGAAATTTGTTTATCAACGGTTTGTATCTCTTATGTAGAATGTATTTGGCCACCTAATTCTCCAGACTGTAACCACCTCAATTGTTATGTGTAGGTCGCAGTTGAACGAGAGATCAAAAAATAACTCCTTGTAAGATCAAAGATGAACTAAAGGCAATGATTATGGCAGCATTCACCAAATTAAACAAGGAGACTGTCCAGAATAGATGCATGAGATTCCAAAGTCGTGTGGAAGCCGAGGTTGTAGCCAATGGGAATTTTATTAAATGAATTTACTCTTTAAAATTTCAAGATATTTTTGTGTAATTATGTTAAATATATCTGTTAAAATGAGATGTCAGTGCTATTTTTATATTTGCGTAATTCAAACGACAATTTATCCATCGCAATCTGTATATATTCAAGAATATACATAGATAGGTATATATGTAAATATACCTGAGTAAAAGAATCGTCACGTCCAGAAAGCAATGATCGGATCCTCAAATGGATGCAAAGAAAAGTTTAAAGGTATAAACATCATTTATAAATTGAGAACGAAGATATTTACATTTTTTTTTTTTAAGTTCGATGCACGCTTATCTCCAAAGAGCCATGAGATATTGCTAAATTCCTCAATTTTAATTGATTACCTTTCAACTCAGGTTTTCCATGCATTGTTAATTAAGTACTGAGTGACAAAATATACAAAATCATGTAAACTTCAAAGATTTACTTACCAATCTGCTTAAAATGTTCTTTATGTTTTGTTTATATCGTTCGAAGCGTTTTCTTTTCAAATTATTTCTCTTAGATAGATAGATAGATAGATAGATGATAGATAGATAGATGAGGAATAATATTAATAGATAGATAGATAGATAGATAGATAGATAGATAGATAGATAGATAGATAGGAATAATAATAATAATAGATAGATAGATGATAGATAGATAGATAGATAGATAGATAGATAGATAGAGATTTGAATAAGATGAGATAGATAGATAGATAGATAGATAGATAGATAGATAGATAGATGAATGGGAATAATAATAATAATAATGATAGATAGATAGATGAGAGATAGATAGATAGATAGATGGGAATAATATTAATAGATAGATAGATAGATAGATAGATAGATAGATGAATGGGAATAATAATAATAATAATAGATAGATAGATAGATAGATAGATAGGATAGATAGATAGATAGATAGATAGATAGATTTGAATAAGCTGAGATAGATAGATAGATAGATAGATAGATAGATAGATAGATAGATAGATAGATAGGAATAATAATAATGATAGATAGATAGATAGATAGATAGATAGA